GGAGGAAAATGAAGGGAACGTGGGAGGGTGAGTGGGAAGAAGGAACTAACTTCTAGTAAATTCACAAATCCCTTAGAGCTTATTAAAAGGAGATTTGACTTACTACCTTTAAAAGATCACAATCTACTGATAAATTTTGAGTCAGAAGGCCTGTGAGACCAAATGGAGATAAGGGGACTTTGGGGGAGAGAAAGAGATAAGAATGTTATTCTGACAAACAAAAAAGGATATCCTTGTTTTAACTCAGTAGTTTTTAAATTCAAATATTAGCTGAGAATCCAATGGGTTTGTCATCTCTTTAAGAATTTATTCATTATATGCAGCACATTGTTCTGCACACAATGGAAAATTCAAAACTGAATCTACCCCTCCTAACTGGGTTACTCCAGGCTGGAGGCAAGGTATGTACCTAAACAACTCCAGTGTGAGGCAGCCAAGGAAACACTGGTCACAGAGATATATCTAGATGCTTGGCATCACAGAAGGCAAAAGAGCTGTTAGTTCAGGGTCAAGGTGGTTATGACCAAACCTTGAAAGTAGAGTGAAGAGAAGTGAGAGAACAAGAGTTCCTGGCAGAAGGCACGGCCTGAATAAAGGCCAAGTGCATGGAAACACAGGCTTCCAACAAAGACCCCAAAGTAGTTATATTTGCCAGGAATATATTAATAGGCCAAGTGAAAAAGAGAAATGTAAAAAAGGCTTGGTTTGGATGAAAGTAAGAAAGACTTTAAATGACAACAGAGTTTGAGCCAAAGGCAGAACTAATAGGGCCGTGGAGGGCTCTAAGCGAGGAAGGTAGGGATCATGGTCCTGCTTCCAGACCCTTGACCAGGTAGGATGGATGAGAAGGACAGGCAGAAAGAGATGCAGGAGGCAGGAAGGCACCTGCAAGAATCCAGGGTGGGGAGCTGACTGCTAGTTCTTTGTGAGCAAGTGCTGCGTCTTGAGGGATTCAGGTGGCTCAGTGGTAAAGAATTCACCTGCCAATGCAGGAGACATGGGTTTGATGGCTGAGTCGGGAAAATTCCCTGGAGGGGGAAATGGCAACCCACTCCAGTATTCTTGCCTGGGAAACCCCATGGACAGAGGAGCCTGGTTGGGCTACAGTTCATGGGGTCCCAAAGAATCAAACAGGACCCCATGACTAGGCACACATGCTGAGTCTTGAGCACTGAAATAGCTGAATGTGAGGCTTATTCAAAACCCCAGGAAACAGGGAAGGTAGAGTGATCAACAGGAGACTGAACTGAGGGGAGTGAGAAGGGTGCAAAGTCAGAAGGTGAATAAGGTGGGTACAGAAGAGGCCACAATGGAAGTTGCCCGGGAACTGATGGAGCAGCCTGAAAACATGGTAGGAGGCCTGGCAGAGCTAGAGACTGTCGGGAAAGCAGAAGAGGTTACAGATTGACCCCAACAGCACTCACCAGTCTGGAGCAAATTAAAAAGCAAATTGGAACTGGCTTAAATAAAAGAGACTCCCATCACTGCCACTTCCAATATTGCCTTGGTCGTGGGGTCTGCAGATGGCAGAGCAAGCAGGTATGTCAATCTGTGCTCCATCAATATGAATTTTCAATGGCATCATGTTGACAGCCAGCAGCTGACACATCACCACCCTCTGCTGAAGCATCTCTGAAGCCCTGGGAAGGCTTTTCCTAAAGCCAAGGCAAGGACAGGACCACCTCCTTGGCTGTAGAAAGTGGGAGACTTTAAAAAATAAATAAATAAAAATAAAACACTCTCACGTACATCATCTCACTTTATCCTCATCTTAGGTGAGAGGCACAAGGCAGGTATTATTATCCTCATTGTAATCCAGAGAAACTGAGGTCTGGACAAATCAGGAGATTTGTCTAAGGCCATGGAGCTACATATCTATGCATCATCAACTCAATGGACAAGAGTTTGAGCATACTCTAGGAGACAGTGAAGGACAGGGAAGACTAGTGTGGTGCAGTCCATGGGGCCGCAAAGAATTGGATACCACTTAACGACTGAACAACAACAACGCAATTATGTAGTGGCAGAGCTTGATGACCCACATAAGCCATTGCAGCCTGAGAGAGCAATCTGCCCAGAACACCAGGCATTTGCTGGCCGTGTAGACATTCCCTCCCAGCTCCTTCAGAACCATGATCAGCCTGGGGAGAGGCTAGAAGTGGGATACACCAGTAGGCAAGTAGGGCTGGCTTCAAAGAGAATGTGGAAGATGGCAAGGTGAACTGTCTTTCCCTCCTTCATTCCTACCCTCCCTCCCTTCCTTCCTTCCACAAGTACCTGCCAAGGATCACGTGACTACTCACCCCTCCAAAGGTCCCTATCCTCAAGAACCCCACTGCCTTACCTTCTTATCCTGCTCACCGTCTCCCACACTGTCTTCCCAACTGAAACATAACCATCATTCACTTCTCAGTCTCTTGAGATCCACAGGAGGGAGGAAATTCAAGCGGAGGTTATGACATTTGAACCGGCCTTAAAGTCTGAGAAGGAGGTAACCTCTGGACACAAGCAAAGGCTCAGAGATACTTCAGGGCATGGAATGCTCTGGAAACAGGAGTTCTGTAGAGCTTGGGGCCGGTGGTAGCATAGGGGTACAGAGGAGCTACTGAAGATGAGGAGAGAGCAGGCCCTTGGAGATCACTTGAGGAATGCCTCTCACTCCATAGACCCTAGAAAGCCATCAAAGAACTCTAGGCAAAGGAGTGGTAAATCATTTTGGTGCTTAGAAGGACAACTCTAGCAATTGCATGGAAAAAAGAGGATCACAGAAGGTGTTGCAAATATTTCAGGAAAAGTAGACGAGAACCTGGGCCATGAGAGGTTAGTAGAAAAGGTGGCACAGAGTCCTTATTAATGAATTGTATCAAAGCAGTCAATCCTAAAGAAAATCAACCCTGAATGTTCACTGGAAGGACTGATGCTGACACTGAAGCTCCAATAATTTGGCCACCTCATGTGAAGAGCCAACTCATTGGGAAAAACCCTGATGCTGGGAAAGATTGAAGGCAGGAGGTGAAGGGGACAACAGAGGATGAGATGGTTGGATGGCATCACCGACTCAATGGACAAGAGCTTGATCAAACTCCAGGGAATGGTGAAGGACAGGGAAGCCCGGTGTGCCGCAGTCCACGGGGAAGAGTTGAACATGACTGAGCAACTGAACAACAATCAAAGCAGAAAAACAGGCCTTCCAGGTTCAGGCGGGGGTCCAGGGGGCCTCTCGGGTCCTGCTCAACCTTCATCCCCAGGCAACCTCTCCCCTTTAAGGTGTACAGTCATGCCCACTGAGTCGTCTCCAGAATGAAGGCCACTCAGGACCCCCGCACTCTCGATGCTGGGCATTCAAGGTCAGCCCAACAAACAGTACCTGATGTGTGTCTCTAATCAGAAAACAACATCTGGAATTTCCCAAACAAGCCCTGTGTTTTTACCACCTCTGCACACTATCTCCATTCCCTCTACTGAGAATAACTTTTCTTTACATTTCCACTTATAGAAATCCTACCAACCTTTCTGGTCCCAGAGTCACCCTCATCAAAAACCTTTCTCAATCCCCCAATCCAAATGAATTTCCCGGCAGAGCATGAGGCTTTGCCCACAACAGTGTTAATCGAATGCTGACCTCCTCCTTTGTGATCCACCTGTCCCCCTGAAATACCCCTGGGCTGTGTTTCATTCTTCTTTCATGCTAACACGCCAACTGACCAACCTAACACAGTGATGGATCCATCCTGACGTCAATGAACCCCCACCTGTATGTCTGTCAGTAATAAACTAGGTGGGCAGGCACGTCTGTGCGTCTCTCCCCATAAATGAGAATGTGAAACCAAAGTCGAGGCCCTACAAATGGGCCAGAATTAGGTCACTTGAGGGATGCTCTCTCAGTATCCTCACTTGAGTCCTGCACCTCCTGAGCCATAGCATAAAGCCTCATCATTCTAGAACTCCTGTCTTCTACCTCAGCACAAGTGGGCACAGTTCCTTCTCTTCGGGGCTCACTAACTTGTGTGGGAGTTAAAATCCACACACAGAGAAGGGCCTTTCCTTTCTCAGGGAGCTGGCATTTCTACACAAGTGGTTTGTAACCTATACTACATAAGGCAACATGATGAAGAGCTCACTTCAAGATTGGATGGTCATGGATGATTTTACGGGGGCTGGGGGCATCTATCCCACCTTGGAGGAGTGGTAAAGGCTGTCTTTGGTCAGAAGGGAAGAAGTGGAAGACCCACCCAGCTAAGGTCAGGATAATAAGGCAAAAGTCAGAACAGAGAACAGATCACTTTGGCTGGAGCAGCCAATCTATGAGGAAAACTGAGGGACAAGTCTGGAAAGATAGGTCAAGACCAGCTTGGGGTGGGTCTCAGTGGATATCCAGTAATGGGGATCCATTGAAGTCCCCTGAGTAAGAGGATCTGGTGAGGCATCTTTTTTAAGGTAGCTTAATAGGCTAGTTGTATAGAAGGTATATTGGCTTGAAAAAGATCTGATATCTTGAACAAACAAGATGTTTGATACAGTAGGATACTATAAGATAATGGAAATAAAGTAGACTAGAAGAAGTGAAATAAAAATAGAAACACTTCAAAATGAAACATCTGCTAAAGGTTTGTGTTCCTTGGGTACCAGATATCTGCTACTGCTTGCACCATTTTCTGTGAAGGACCAGAGAGACACAAACTCACAAAGTCCCTGCCAGGAAGTACCCAAAGCCCCACTATGGTTTTACTGGTGGAAAACCAGGCAGTGGGTAAGAAACCTTGCTCGCTCTGGTCATTTTTCATTCAGGGACTAGCTAAAATCGTCTTCTAATCTTCAGCCAATGTATTTTATTCAATGTGAAAGTCACTAAATTAATTTTTTAACATAATAAGAGTAGAAATTGTCAATTTTAGAAGCACAGATGCGAATTTCCCTGCACAGGAGAGAACATGAATCCTATTAGTTAAAAATAGCAGTTGTACTCACTTTCCCCCACATGCTAATTTTAATAAACTTACTCTGAAATTAGCCTGCCACTAGGAAGATAGCTGCTCATCAAAGATGTTCCCAGGAAACACTAAGCTTGCCTTGCAGGAGTTCAAGCACTCCCAGGAAACTCAGAACAATGCAGAGTTCTAAATGGAATGCACTTCTCACCAGACCTGGTCACCTCCCACCTCTCCGTCACACCCAGCAACACCACTCTCTAGCCACACCTTGGGAGTCATCTTGGACTCGTTCTATTGCATCTTCCCAATCAACTTGGCTATGAAATCCTGTATATATCTTCCTTTAAAATCTATCTCATAGATATCCCTTTTTCTCTAATCCTCACTGATGCTGTATCCTCTTATCACTTTATTTATTCAAATATCTAAGCAGTCACATATTCTACATTCATTGAGTATCTACAAAGGGCAAGGTCCAGTGGCAAGTGCTAAGGTCACAGTAAAATACAGTTCCTACCCTCAAGGAGTTCAAGATCTTTTGGGTCCAGCGGAGAGAGAGGCAAGTCAAAGATTGGTTAAAGAACCATATGATAAATGGTATGACTTAGGTGCAGTAGGGGTAATTGGGAATATTGATGGTGACAGAAAAGACTAGATTGCTGGTAGCTCATCTCCACTTATCTTCCCCTGATTTTGAGGACAGCTACCAAATTTGTCTTTATATCCTTACTGCCTGGCACAGTGCCTTGTGAATGACAAAGGCTCAGTGATTGTTGAGTTCAGTGGAAACAAATCTTTCCCAAGTATTTTCATCAACTTACACTCTAGCTAAAAAAGCTTTCAATGACTATTGCCAGCTACATCAGAGCACACCCTTCTGTCTTGCTTTTGAAGTTGTTTGCCATCTGGTCTACCCTGGCCATCCAACATCCATTTCTGCTATACCTCAATGCACTAGTTTCAGCCTTTATCTGGAGCATTTCCTCAAAGAATGACCACCAGGTCAGCGCTCACATCTGCTTCCGGTCACCTTCGCCCATGCCCTCTTCACTCAAAGGTGAGGAAACCAATTCCAACTCTCCTTTAAGATTTTTCCCACTACTTCAAGCCTCACCAACTGCCTGTATATGTATCTAAGATCAATTGTTCATTATTGTGTGCTGCTTCTTTGTTTAATAATAATATAAATATGAATGATGCTTTGAAATATTAAGTTATACTCTATCCACCTTGCCTCAAATTCCGGTAACTCCCCTCCCTTTTCTCCCCACAGATCCCTCCCCCTCTTAAAAGCCAGACATTCTGCATTCTTGTTCCAAGGAAGAGAGCACTCAGCAGAGCACTGGGAGCAAAGCAACCGAGTTTCCAACTGAGAAAGCCTGAGCCTCAAGACGCCAGAGCACAGAAGAGTCTCCCCAGCTTCTCCCTCCCCCACGGTCCTCCAAAAGACTAGAAAAGATGTCCAGGTGAGAAAAGGCAGACAGAGTGCAAGGGAGGAGAGAGCCTGGACATCAGTGAGTGTCTAAGAATGTACACTAACCAGCGTGGTGTGGAGAGAACAGAGTAAGAACAGCTGGACTGAGCTGTGGGTGGGGGCATAACTAGTTGTGACAGAAATGTGTTAAGTGGGTAGTCAGTCAATCTCTCTATAGCAATGTTAGTTAAGTCGCTCAGTTGTGTCCGACTCTTTGCAACCCCGTGGACTGTAGCCCACCAGTCTCCTCCGTCCTTGGGATTCTCCAGGCAAGAATACTGGAGTGGGTTGCCATTTCCTTCTCCAGGGGATCTTCCTGACCCAAGGATTAAACCGGGGTCTCCCACATTGCAGGCAGACGCTTTAACCTCTGAGCCACCAGGGAAGCCTTAGCTATCTTGAATATCCATTCCACCTCCCTTTGAAAGATTTAGGTTTATTGAGGTATAATTTACATAGAGGAAAAAAATCATTCTTTTGAGGCATACAAATCTGTAGATTTTATCAAACTTATATAGTCATGAAGTCATCAATACAAGCAAGGCATAGACTACATTATCACTTCAAAAAGCTGCCTCATGTTCCTTTGCAGTCAGTCTGCTCACCCACTCCAGGCTCCAGCAACCACTGACTGGCTTTTTTGTCTTTCTAGTTATGCATTTTCAAGAACTTCATATTAGTGGAATATTACAGCCAGGGCATTTGAGTCTCTGCCTTCTTTTACTTGCCATGTTTTTGCATGCATCAGTAGTCTGTTCAGTCTTAATACCCAATAGGATTCTATGACACAGATGTAGCAATTTATCTACTCACTAGTGGTGGACATTGTTGTGTTTTCATTTTTCAGCAATTATAATAAAATTGCAATGAACATTCTCATATAAGATTTTGTGTGCACGTGTGTCTTCATTTCTCTTGGATCAACACCTAGGAGCAGGTGGGTTGTTGGGTTGGGGTCGACGTGACTTTATGAGAACTTACAAAACTGTTTTCAAAAGTGGTTGTACCATTTTATATTTCTCTAGCAATGTAGGAGATTTCTTGTCACTCTGCCTCCTTGTCAGCACTTGTTTTTTCCTTTTTTAATCTGTGGGTCTGCTTTTCATTCGAAGAGATATGTTGCAGCATCTTGTGTATGTGTGTGCTCAGTCGCTCAGTTGTGTCTGACTGTTTTGCAACCACATGGATGTAGCCCACCAGGCTCCTATGTCCATGGGATTATTCAGGCAAGAATACTGGAGTGAGCTGCCATTTCCTCCTCCAGGGGATCTTCCCCACCCAGGGATCAAACCCACGTTTCCTATGGCTCCGACATTGGCAGGAATATTCTCTACCACTGAGCCACCTGGGAAGACCCTTGTGGTATCTCATTGTGGCTTTAATTTACATCTTTCTGATGACTGATAATGCTGAGTATCCATTCATATGCTTATTTGCCATTTGAATCTCTTCTTCAGTGAAGTGTCTATTTAACTCTTTTGCCCATTTTAAAAATTAGGTTGTTTTCTTACTATTGCATTGTAAGAGTTCTTTATATATTCTGGATATACGATATGTGTTATGTGCAAAATTTCTCCCAGTTTGTTTTTTCATTTTCGTAACAGAGTCTTTCAAAGAGTATACTTTTTTAAAAATTGTGATAAAGCCCATTTTATCCTTTTTTTTTCTTTTATATTTTGTGTTTTCTGACTTTTTAATAGAACCCTCCCAAATTTAAGTTGGGTACATCCAGCTTAAGATGACACTTTCTAGCCTCCCTTGCAGCTAGATGTGGCCATGTGATGATGCTCAGACCAATGGGGTATGAGAAGTGATCCCTAATTAAAGAAAAGTAAGCAGAGCATCCCTAATTAAAGAAAGAGCATCCCTAATTAAAGAAAGAGCATCCCTTTGCCCTGAGTTTCCCTTTTCTCTCTCTCTCTTTCCCCTACATATGGGTTGGGACAAATCATGGCAACCACCCAGCTTTAACTATACAGTTGAGGATCACCCCCTCAAAAAATAGTAGAGAAACAAGATGGAAGAAACCTGGGTTTTTAAATGGCACGTGGAGCAGGGCTGTCCTCCTAGACTGGACCACACACTATAACGCAAAAAACACCTAAATATCATTGGGGAGTAGGTATCATTTTTCAAGCGGTTTAGATTTCACCCTAACAAATACACTCTTCTTTCTTAGGAAGTAAAAATAATCCCCAGTTCCCTGGACCCAGCTTGGTGTGGTGTGGTATGTCTATGCAGAAAATTTCACCATAGTTTCTCAAAGCTTTCCTCAGTTCAAGAGTGATTCAGGGACAGCAGAACATGATCAAAGCTACCCACCTTAGGCAAGAGAGCAAAGTCCCCCATGCCCAGAGCAGTGAAGGAGCAGTATACTGCCTTGCTCTTCACTCACCCAGGATAGCATGGGTGTGGTACAGACACCAAAGGGCCAGAAAAGGGGAACAAGGGAGGATACAACAGTGATCAACAATGACCAGTGACCAGATACTAGACTGAAATAAGGAGAGTATGGCTAAACAAAAATAGGCTAGGCCAGATGTGCCCCTCCACACCATCACTCCTGCCAATGGGGAGATATACTAGTAAACACTACTAACTTACAATGGCTAAATACTACTAACTCCCTCTAGAACTCAAATGCAAGTTCAGGAAGAGGCGTGACTCCAATCCAGATTATGTTTCCACTCCCCTTCCGATGGGAGTTTGTAATCAAAATTAAAGTGTTATAACAAGATAAAGAAGTTTTTGTTCCATGAACATCTAAGTTGCTGTCCTGAGGTCCACCCTCACTATACTGATATTTGGTGAACACTTACTGCTTGATAGAGAGCAAAGCACTAACAAGCCTGGTTTCACTGGAGCCTCACAATAAGAGCACCTATATGGCATGTACTTTACGATCCTGTTTAAGGATGAGAAAAATGAGACTTGGAGGAGTTGCACAATATGGTGATTCTATCAACACCCATTCCCCTTCTTCTGGCAAACAGTCCCACTGCCCCAATCCACTCACAGTCCATGTGGCCTGGGCAGGGCCCCATGTACAACTGCAGACCCCAGACAGATCATTACACCCCCTGAGCAACTTCTCCCAGAGCAGGTGAGGGATATAAGTGGGTTCAAAGGGAGTGATTCCTGAGTTTTTATGGGACCTCTGGCATGAGAGTTTCTGTCTCTCCCTCTGGACTTGAAGGGTGGGAGGGTAATACCAGGCAACAAGCAGACCCAAAGATGGAGAAAAAGCATCCATTTGAGTGGTCTGAGGGCTGAATCCAGCTGTGCCCCATGGCACGCCATCTTGGAATGATTATTCATATCAGCTGTATTAGTTTGCTAGAGGCTGCTGTTAACAAACTGCATAAACTGGGTGGCCTGAAACAGCATAAATTAATTTCTGATAGTCCTTGCGGTCAGAAGACCAAAATCAAGCTGTAGGAAGCGCCAGACTCCCCAGTAAGACTCTAGAGGAAGACCCTTCCTTGCTTCTCCCTAGCTTAGGGTGGCTGCCAGCATTCTTTGGCATTTCTTGGCTTGTAGCCGCATAACTCCAATCTTTGCCTCTGTCATCACACAGCTTTCCTTCCTCTGTCTTCACATCATCTTCTCTTTGCACATCTCTGCACTCCAATCTCCTTCTTCTTACAAAGACATTGGTCATTGGATTAGAAGCCCACTCAAAGGACTTCATCTTAACTTGGTTACATCTGCAAAGATCTTATTTCTAAATAAGGTCACATTCACAGGGATTGGGGGTAGGGGATAGGACTTGAACATATCTTTTGGGGACACTATTCAACCCACAATATTAGTCAATAAATTCCTTCTGAGCTAAACTTCCTTGGGTTGGATTTTTTACCATTTGCACCAAGAAAGAAGTAGAATCATGACGCAGGTCCAGATCTCAGTTCACAAACAAGACCCAAAGCCACACCCTTAACCACAGGCTCAGACTGTAAGCCTCTTATACTTCTCTACCCCAAATGTCAGTGGCTCAACTTTGGGTAGAGGCCCAGGGTTAACAGGGCTTCCTAGATGGCTCAGTGGTAAAGAATCCGCCGGCCAATGCAGAAGATGCAGGATCGACCTGTGGGTTGGGAAGATCCCCTGGAGGAGGAAATGGCAATGCACTCCAGTATTCTTGCCTTTGAAATCCCATGGACAGAGGAGCCTGGAAGGCTACAGTCCATAGGATTGCAAAGAGTCAGACAGGACTGACTGAGCACACACACCCAGTCACTGAATATATAACATTCTCAAAGAATACAGGATTGATTGCCATCTAATTAATTAACCAAAATTCAAATAGCAAAATTGAATCGGGCATGGTTTATCATAGGGCAGCCAGCTGACAGATGACCAGGATTTTTATCTTAGAAATGAAGTTGTGGATTGTCTGCACAACTGCATTTCAAGATGTCCTCTTGATTTGAAAGCTCACCTCAGGTGGTGATGAGAAGATGGTTTCCCCCTCCCCAGACATTTAATTTCCAGAATAGAACAGCAACCACGCGTCTTTCACATGCATGGCCGTGTTTACCTCAGGGCCTGAGAGAAGCCTGTAATTTCAGCTTGTTATACTGAAAATACGAAAATAAAACTGATCTCTATAGGGTCATTTAAATGAAAACTGCTTTCTAGAGGCAAACCGAGGAAGCAAACTGATTGAAAGAGAGCACAGAGCCCTGGGCAGGAAGGGCGATGGGGTGTGGACTCAGGGCAGGAGGTAGGACCAGGGGTATCTGTAGAAATAGATGGGCACCTGTCAAAAGCCCATTTGATCTGGGTCACATGTCTGGTGACATCTTCCCCAGTTTCTCCCACTGCCTTCCAAAGTCACTTTCAAAACCACTAGACACTGACCATTGTAGCTGTTGTTTAGTCACTAAGTCATATCTGACTCTTTGCAACTCTATGGACTGTAGCCGGCCAGGCTCCTCTGTCCATGGGATTTCCCAGGCAAAAATACTAGAGTGCGTTGCCATGCCCTCCTCCAGGGGATCTTCCTGACCCAGGGATTGAACCCCTGTCTCCTGCATTGACAGGAGGATTCTTTATCACTGAATCACCAGGGAAGTCCCACCCACTGACCATATTCTTCTTTGAATTCTACTTGCGTGAGTCCAAGACGATGTCTCCACACCAGACCCAGTGTACACCCATGCGCAGGAAATGGTCAGGGAAACACCTGGGGA